ATTGTGAAGTCCATGGTATTGTGGTACTATAAATTACATTAATATTAGTTTTATGAACGAAAATTATCGTTGATTATTATTATGCACATATAATAATTAAATGTAACAACATGATGATCCACAATAATAACGAAATAATTTATATGTGAATTAAGATGTGATAATGAGATTTAATTACTTTTTGTCGAGTTTGATTACTTAACTAACTTTTATTAAAAAAATGAAATTTATTTAATAATTAAGTAAAAAAATATTAATACTTGAAGGTTAATCTTTTTTATACAACGTGACAAACAAGATTTCAAATTTGTTTCGATAATTAGTGACTTCTTAAATTCAGTCGTAGTTAAATGTGTGTCTAAATAAAAACGTTTAACCTTAAAAGCATATTTCACATCGTCAAATTATAGAGTGAGCAAAAATACCTCTATTTGCAATTGGACACTCGTACTCCAAAATAAGAATAAGATAAAATCTTGAACGAAAAGAAAACTTCTCAAAAATACTTTTTGTTATTTTACTTATTCGAATGAAATTATATCTACTGTAGATTCAAGCTCGACATGCTACAGGTAGGGGTGCACAAAAAATCCGAATATCCGAATATCCGAAAAAAATATCCGAAACCGGTTTTGGGAAAAACCGGTTTTTTTTAACCGGATCGGATTTTTTTAAACCGGTTATTTTAACCGGTTTGGAGAAAAAAAACCTAGACCGGTTTTTTTACCAGATAAAAAACCGGTTTGAAAAAAAACCGGTTAAAAAACCGGTTTTTATCCGAAAAAAAAACCGGTCTGGGTTTAAAAAACTAGCCGTTAATATAGCCGTTTGTGACCGTTTTTGACCGTTTTTTTCTTTAAAAAATTACCATTTTACCACCCTAAACATGTATAAATAGGTTGGGGATGTATTTGGTTGATTACAACTTTCTCAAATCTTATTACACAACACTTAAACATCTCTCAAATCTTAGTTTTGTAATTTTTTATTCATCATGAGTAACACTGCTGAATCTTCCGTCGGGGGAAACCTTGAAGTCGTGAGAGTGATCGAACACACTCGAAACAAAGATATTTGGGATCACTACGATTTATGTGAGATGTCAAATGGCTCGAGGAGGGCGCGTTGTAAACTTTGTCTAAAGTTTCTTGCATCGGAAGGAAACACAACGTTGAAGAACCATTTGACAAAATCATGCAAGACACTTCGCTCAAGATCGGATCCTAGTCAATCGAATCTTACACCGCAAGGTGGTGTTTTTGTTTACGACAACGAAAAATTACGAGAAGCGTTTACAAAGTTCGTGATTACAAAAGCATTGTCGTTCGACCACTTTGATGATGAAGATTTCACGACAACAATTCAACAACTAATGCAACCACGTTATACTCAAGTAAGTCGTACTACCCTTAGAAGAGATGCTATAAAAATGTGGCGTACGGCGAGGGAAAAAATGATTTTAGGATTCCAAGAACACCGTTATGGTGTGTCGCTTACATGTGACGTTTGGAGTTCCCCTCATAATACCGGAAATTCTTTTTTAGCCGTTACGTCACATTGGTTAGATCAAGATAATTGGCAAATGATGAAAAGAACAATCGCGTTTGAATTATTCGGTGAGCCGCATACCGGTGCTAATTTATTTACACTTTTAAAACGGGTAATTTGTCTTTATAAATTAGAAAATAAAGTTTTTTCTATATCTTTTGATAATGCATCGAATAATACAAACGCGATTCCAAGATTGAAAATATTACTTTCACCGATTTTAGACGGTGCGTTTTTTCATACCCGTTGCGTTGCACACATAATTAATTTATCCGTGCAAGCCGGTTTGGAGGTTATTGAGCCAATTAGATTAGAATTTAAAACAATGATAAAATCGATTCTTTGTAACAACAACAAAAGACTAAATGATTATAAACGATTTTGTAAGTCTGTTAATAAAAAAGCTTTGGGTCCTAATTTGGATTGTCCAACTCGTTGGAACTCAACTTGGATGATGATGCATACTGCCTTAAGGCAAAGGGAAACATTGCAAACATTTCACGATCGGCTTTTCGAGAGGGGTCATGTCCCAGACATTTATCCGGATTCGAGTTGGGAAACTATAGCCAAAATAACCGATTTGCTTGAGGTTTTTAAAAATGCAACAACTTTTTTATCCGGTGTTTATTACCCTACTAGCCCGTTGGTTCTTAATCAAATATTTTTGTTGGCTACCCGACTAAATGACTTTGAATTTGAAACCGAAGTTTTTCAAGAAATTGGCTTTGCAATGAAGGAAAAACTTTTAAAATATTTTAAGGAGATTCCCCCCATTTTTACTTGTGCCGCCGCTTTAAACCCAACGTTAAATGTTGGTGGGGTTGAAACACTAATTGAACAAATTGCGTTTGCTTTTAATCTAACCGATGATGAACCCAACTTTGTCCAAAACCAAATAAATTATTTTAACAAATGTTTTCGAGACATGTTTGCAATTTATTTAAATAAATACGGATCAAGTAGTGTAATACACGATCAAATGAGAATGAATGCGGAATCATCTAGTAGACGTCCAAGTAACATAAATTTGAATCTTTTTAACACTCTTGTAAATTCCCAATCCAAACGATCACGTACTACCACCCCAAGTAGCGAGTTGGGAAATTATATGTCATGCGATTTTCTATCAAAAATGACATTTGAAGAGTTTGAAAGTTTGGATATTTTGGCTTGGTGGAAAGAAAAGGAAGCACAATTTCCGATTCTAGCCGCCATGGCCCGTGATTTACTAACCGTCCAAGCTTCTACGGTAGCTTCGGAATCCGCTTTTTCTGTTAGTGGCAGGGTTATATCGCAACGGAGATCAAGACTAAGTCCCGAGTCGGTGGAAGTATGCATTTGTTTAAAGGATTATTTGGATGGAGCGGCTCGTAAGCAACATATCACCACCCTAGAAGATGCAATTGATGCCGATTTGGAAGCAAACTTACACATTGAAGAAGTCGAACTTGGAATATCTCCTCCAAACGAAGAAGGCGAAGATGATGAAGAAGAGATGGCAATGTAGTTTATTTTATAACTTTATTTCAATTATCGTAAACTTTGTTTCAATTATCGAACTTGAAGTTTTTAAGTATTTGAATTTATCGAACTTGGAAGTTTTTAAGTATTTGAATTTATCAAACTTGGAAGTATTTAAGTATTTCAATTATGTTGAGTTAATTAAGTATTTCAATTAAGTATTTGAATTTATCGAACTTGAGGTTTGATGCTTTCTCTTTGATTATCTCTTGATTCTAGTTGCTTGATGTGTCTTGTCTTTGATCAATGACTTCTACGCTTGCTTAAATACACCTTGAATCACTTCTGAACGTTAGTGATAATTAATGAAGATAATATAGCGAATCGGTTCCCTAAGTGTAAAATTCAAATATTTCGACCGTTGAATAGGGGGGAATCGGTACCCCTATGGGGGAATCGGTTCCCTCCGAGCATTCTGGAAATCTCGGAGCCAAACCATTCAGTGAGGATTCGGTACCCCCTTGGGGGGAATCGGTTCCCTATGAGCAATCTGGAATATTAAAATCGGTTTTTTTATAACCGGTTTTTTAAAAAAACCGGTTTTTTTAAAACCGAAACCGGTTACACCGGTTAGGATATCCGGCCCTCCAAACCGGTTAGAAACCGAACCGGTTATTTTATAAACCGGTTTTTTTTCTATGGGAAAAAACCGAATCGGATAAAAACCGATCCGGATCGGATTGAAATCCGAATTATGTGCAACCCTAGCTACAGGTGAAGATTTTTTTTAAAAAAAAAATATTTAATATATTAATTTTATAATATTTTTAATTTATTATTTTATAATTTTAGATGTTTAAAATTTTTATTGATTTTTTTAATATTCAGTAATATTCTTTTAATATTTCTTAAAATTATAATTTTCTTAATTTTTATCTTTACTTAAAGATCATGTTAATCGAGTGGTCAATGATACTTATATTACTCACCTTGTGCAGATTCAAACCCGAAATCCACTTTATAAACGTAAATATCTTCAAACCTATTAAATAACTTCAATGATAAAGAGAAATATTATTCTTTCTAAATATCTTGAATTCGAACACCAACATCTATAAGATATATGTACGATTGTATGTTACCGATTGATTAAAAAAAACTCTGAATAAATATTATCTTGTGATCATCCAAACTAATAAAAATATATACCTAGTAAAAAAGATTATTTTTATAACATGAATAAACTTTTATAATTTTTTTTTTTTGAAAAGCTTGACCCCTTGCGTACTAGTTAATCTTGGAAAAGAGATGGTATAAAACTAGTAAAGGAATCAATAAAAGCATCTAATAAAGGACGAAATTATCCATCAAAAGAAGCGTTACGCTCACAAACGAGATAATCAACAAGAACGCTTGCCAATAAAACAATAACCAAAACAAAAACGCTTTCGAATGCAAAATAATCATTTGAGTTATTACAAATTATTAATTAAGGGCACAATAAAATAAAATAAAATAGAAAAAAGGGGAGAAGTTGAGGCATTCCCTGGGTTCACAAGGGCTCTGCAGTGTAATCAACCACATCTGATCTCCATACAAGATAACGCATTCCATGGGTTCATGAATTTGTATACAAGAAACGGCAGCAACAGCCATCACCGATCACAACATTTCTTGTGATCGCCGGACGCAGCGGCCAACCTTTCTCTTGAATTCATCTTTCCTATCTCTCCATTCCTTCTGCCAGTATCAACGACAAGTATTGATGAAAAGAACACACAGGAAAACATATTCCTTGGTTTTACAATCTCAACAGTATACCAATGTTGAAAAACTTCAGATTCATTAGTATTCACATGATTCTATGATAGAACAATATACTGATCACCATAGTGGTTTGACAAGATCACATAGTAATGAAATGACATAGGATTTAACTAGGCAAAGAAAACCATGTTAATGTACTAAAAATCCAAGTGCCATTTTTATTAATGGTAAACTGAGCTTGATAAAATAAGCATTTTGAAGGGAGTTTCATAACACTAGAGTCCTTAGTAGAAGGGTGGACACCATGTTAGGGCATCAAACATTCGGAAGTAACATCACATGCAACCACAGAAATCAATCACACTGAAGGGAAAAATGCAACTAGGAAGTTGAATAAACATCAACCAAACCAAAATAAAAAAAGGAATAAATTAATCAAGAAATGCAACAATCACTTACAGCAGCTTCAACATTTGCAGGAGATTCGTCGTTTGGGCTGGAAAGCATTGATATAATACTCAATACAATACTTTCAACCTGCCACATTGTTAGGATATACATTTGTTAATGCACTAACATAGCGTCAAGATAAAAGGGGGAAAGGACAACAGTAAGGAGCAGGGTGTCCATATATTAAAGTAATTGAAGTTTGAGCAATTTGAACTCTATGGCACTATGAATGTTATTGACACTTGAACAGGAAAAAAATAATACATAAACAAGTAAAAAAATAAAAAGACAAGTCAAGCATGACAGACACTTCACAAACATACCGTATGAACCGGCATCCAGCGCTCACTTGCAAGCTCATAGCCATTCGGATCATCACCAGGAGGATGAAGGATAGAAATGCAAACACGCCCATCAGGATAAACTGCAAAAACATTAAAGATCATATTAATTCTTGCATCAGATGAAGGCACAAGATTATGAACAGACAAAGGTATACCATTAGGATGCCAAATCTCTGTTGTAAATTTCATTGTTGGGGGACTGTTTGGATAATTAGGTGGAAAGCTCATGATGGCATTGAAAAATCCCCCTTCACTGAAATTAGAATATTTGTGTTCAAGCACATTAGTAAACAAAAATCATAAAGTTACATGATATGCCATAAAGAACTCAATTCATATCAAGATTACTTGAGGACAAAGTAGTAAAAAGAAAATATGCAGTGGGAAAATAAGACACATTAGAAAGGAACGTAAGCTACAAAACAAGGTAGCTTATTCTAGCGGTAAACATATACCATTGTGGAGAAGCATTTGCAATTAAACAAACTCCAAACGCACAAAGACGACAATTTTTGCCCCTCATAATCAACAACCTCCATATAGAAGCTAAGAACCTACCATTTTTCATTCTCAATTGAACCAAATCTACAAGAACCAGGTCTTAATGATGAATATACAGAAGCTTTCAGCAACTCTTACACATAGTTATTCCATATAAAAAGTGAAAACGAACAATTAGTTTTGTTGCTATTGCTGTGTGCAATCAATTCAAAAAACCTAACTGAATGGCGATTGGCAACACAATCACTAGGTAAACTCAGAACCATATATTCCAAACCTTACGACCACATAAAGCTCAAGCAAGATGATCCAATTTAGAACCCATAATTCTACTCAGGTTCGATGGAAGACCCGTAAATCAACTATTGCATCAATTAAAATCTAGCCAAGCCAATCTAATTTCAAAACCCTAATTCCTATCAAGCATTAATCTCCTTACCAAACGTTACACAAAAATCCACATCAAAGAATCCATAAGAAACAACTAATTTCAATCAAAGAAAAATAAACATCACCAGCAAAGAAGAAATGAAGAAGAACAAACTTACTAAAGAGTATCAGGTGGTCCGATAATTGTAACACTCCATTCAAAGATATTGTTGTCATCAACCAATCCGGCAGAGAACCCATCAACCGGATTCTTACAAAGATCTAGACAAAACACATAAATCAGAACCCATTTCAAAATCGACCCAAGCCCTCAAAAAGCAAATGATATTAAGAATCATTAAATTTGAAATCGATCAAAGAAAAGGAGTACCTTTGAGCTGTTTTTGAAGGAGGAGGCTGGCTTGAGATGCCATATAAACGATAGAGGATTCTAGAGAGAGCTGAGAAAGCCCTGCGATTTGAAGAACAAGAAAAAAAAAAGGAGGAAATTAAAAGTCGACACTTCGTTGCTATTTATAGATGTGTTAAATATCGATTTTGTTTGTTCAGATATATATATCGATTTTGTATTCTGCCGCTCCTTTTATGTCAATTATCAAATATATATTTAGAAAATACAAACTAAATTTAATTTTATCGAGATTAAAATTTAAGAATCATTTTTTTTAGTTCTAAGAATTGATATTTAGAAAATAAATATTTATAAAATAAAATCTAAATTTACTTGATTACTTATGTGGCTATAACTAGCTTCATATTATATCACTTGATTGTTTAATTAAATTGGATGATATTATTATGTTCCTATGAGATTATTAATGATTATTGATTATTAACGATTCTTGTACGATGCTATGTGAAAATAGATAGTCTTAATTTACCGTTGTTAGTGTAATTTCATGACTAAATCCTAAGAATAAAGACTAGGGAATTTGATGATGAAATATATTTTTACCAGCTGCTCATTATTTATATTGTTAGTATGTTTATATTTATGAATATTATGATATATATTAGATTAATAGTGTACTATTAAATATGTAAAGTTTGATGTTTGAATGTTTTCGTTTGTACGTTAGCATAATCAATTTAATGTGTTAATTTATATATGTGCGGACTAAATAGAATATATACTTAAAAGTCATTACATATTTCATAAAAACTTTGAAAAAGACAAAAAAAATCGTTATAATCACAAAAAATGAAAAATATTGATCATTAAACTTAGTTATATGTTAGAAAGAGCGTGAGAGTTTAAATAATGAGAAATATTGAGATTTTTATTTAAATTTATGATTTGTAATTGAGAAAATAATTTCAGTCACCGAAAATGCATTATAATATATGATTTTAACTAATTTTTTTTAGATTTACGAAAATGACCAACAAATTCGTAATGCGATCTCGAACTCCAATTTCGCAACTCAGTTTCCAAATTCACAACGCAAATATGTAAATCGCAACACAGAAATCAAATTCGCAACGCGATTTCCAAATTCGCAACGTGATTTACAAATTCGCAACAATGAATTTCAAATTCGCAACTCGATTTCTGAATTCGCAACTCGATTTTCGAATTCGTAACACGAATTTTAATTTCGCAACAGGTTTTATTTTCACAACACAAATGTTTTGGGTATATAACTACGCAGCAACAACAACTCATAACCTAAATCCCTAAATCGCAACTCATTACATCTCCATCTATTACTCTCTCCGGCGACATCCGTTCCTATATCCAACGACATCCTTCTCCATCTCTATTTTTTTACATAATTTTATTTCTATATAATTTTTTAATGATTTCTCTCCCAAATTATCAACTATCAACTTAATAAAGGTATGTTCTTCTCTAAGTTAGTGATGATATGTAGTTTATAGCTCGTTTGTTTAGTAAATTAATTTACAATTTGTAGAATGAAATCATCTAATATTGATCGTGTTTGGATAGATTTGTGTTTTGGAGGGTCATGGGAGAATGTTCATGGTGTTTTACGATATATGCCTTTATCCATGAATCTTCAACTAAAACTGTCATTAAAAAAGTTAACTTATGAAACTCTAATGTTATGTGTTGCAAAGAAATTGAATTTAGAGCCTCTAAGTGGATTTAGGTTATCTTATCAGAGAAAAGGTAAAGTTTATTTGTTAACCGACAATGAAGATGTTGAACGATTCATTGTTTACATTAGTGTTTCGCAAGAAGATGATGTTACATTGTATGTTGTTAAACCTAGAAGTAGTGAAGTTGGGTCAGTAGCGGGTAGTAATCAACTAAGTTCTTCAACCCCAGTTTATGCTGCTCACAATGTACAACGTTATTATCAACCTCCAAATTTAATTGTTCCACCACAATTTTATCACCAAGAAAATTTTGTTTAACCACATTTCCAATACCAAACACAATATCAAATACAATCTCAAAACTCACAACCTTTTCCTAATCCAAATCTCAATCAACTTTCAGCACCAAATTTTGGTTTTCGTATTGACCAGTTGGATGTTGATGAGCTAACAGAAAAAATTGTGAGTACTAGTCAGTATTCGAAATTTGATCTTGGTCAATACCCGGACTTTGATCTTGGTCAATACTCGGATTTTGATGATGTTTCAGAAGAAGAAACAGACCATGCGTGTAATGATTTTGATATTGGTCAATACTCGAATTTTGATGATGAAACAACCACTGCCGAGGAAGATATTGTTGATGATAATGAGGAGGAAGTTACGACTATGAATGAACATATTGAACATCTATTTTGTAATTCATATAACCCTGAAGAAGAAAAATAAGAAGAAAAAGTCCCCGAAGAAAAGAAAAAGAAGAAAATGCCACGGGAGTATAACTGGATATGCCAGAATTACTTCAGATACCGGAAGAAGAGTTGGTAAAGATAACAGTTGATTGTTACACAAAAGTTATTCGTATCAAGAAAGATGATTGTTTTGATACAAAGGAAGACTTGAAGATAGCTTTGTATACGAAATGTGTGGAATATGACTATCAACTAAAAGTTAACAAATCAAGCAAAGATCGTTTCAAAACAAGGTGTATGATTGACAAAAACTATACGTGACGTATGATTGCAAAGAGGATAAAAGATTGCGAAATGTTTCAAGTTAGGACTTTTATTGATAAACATACATGTTCAAGAACTCAAGTTTTTCCTCACCATAGATAGGCAAACAAAAAGGTGTTGGGTGGTTTTCTGGCTGAGTTAATGTTTTTGAATGGCAGGGTATATCGGGGACATGAAATTATGACTGACATGAATGCTCGGTTCAAGATCAGTATCTCATATTCTCAAGCTTGGAGAGCCAAATGTTATGCCTTGGAATTGTTAGGGGGCCGCCAGAAGCATCGTTTGCCCAACTGTCGGCTTATTGTCACAATTTAAAGCTGAAAAATCCTGGGTCGGTAACTCATATCAAAACAGATAGAGATGGACGCTTTGAGTTGCTGTTTATCGCCATTGGTGTTGCGGTTAGTAAATTAATATAATTTTGTTTACTCATTTTTGTTAGTTACATGCATTTCACATTTAAATGATTATATTTCTTGTGTATATTATTTTGTAGATTCGTTCGTTTATTACTTGCATGCGCCTAGTTATTATAGTTGACGGAGCATATTTGAAAGGTTGATACCTTAGAGTAAACTTATTAGCAGTAGCCATGAATGCTAACAATGGGATACTGCCAATAGCTTACGGGGTTGGCAAATCTGAAATCTCTGTTTCATGGATATGGTTTATGGGACATCTTAGGGATTGTATAGGTGATATTAGCAACCTGATAATCATATCTGATAGGGCAAACTCAATTGACAACGATGTTATAAGGTGTTTCCCAGATGCTTTTCATGGACTTTGTGGTGTTCATTTGTACAGAAATCTAAAATCAAGGTCTGCTGGTATAAAAAATCACAAATGGACATACTAGAAGGCTGTAAAAGCTTATCGGGAAGTAGATTTTAATAAGCATATAAATTGTTTAAGACGTGTTTTGCCTCAATGTGCTCAAACACTAGAAGACGTCGGGTTTGAAAGATGGTCAAGAGTATATCAACTTGGAGCAAGATATGGTTTCATGACGTATAATAGTGCAGAATCAATCAACGCTCTAAGTCGACTTCCCGAAAATTACCCATTACTATGTTAATGGAGTTTTTTCGAGCCTCTATTCAACAGTGGTACTACAAGAAAAGAAACCATGCAGGTATTATTTCTTTAAATTTGTAACTTATCATATTTAATATATATTTTACTAAGTATTATTTATTTAAATTTACAGGAACATTGGAACGTCGTGTTACACCATGGACTGAAAAAAAGATAATGAAACGTGTTGTGAAGTCAACGTCATGGAGAGTTGAACCATGTTCAAACACTTTTTTTGAAGTATTGGATAATAACTTAAATGAGCTTGTCGATCTAAATGCAAAGACGTGTAGTTGTATGAAATGGTAAACATCTGGTTATCTGTGTGGCCATGTTATAAAAGTTGTTCTTCATCTAAACCAAGATGATTCAAGCGCATACGCTATGGATTGCTACACTATAGAAGTATATCGACAGACTTATGTCGAGATTGTCTACCCTATTCCACATCCTTCTGAGTGGGACATACCATATGACTTACAAATAGTTTTGCCACCAGTCATGGACAGCAGGCTACCTGGCCGACCAAAAAATCACGATCGTATACCGTCTAAGGGTGAAGAGAAGAGGATATCAACATGTAGTCGGTGCAAGGAAAGTGGTCATACAAGGTTGACCTATGGATCACCAGTGCCATCACAATCATCTTTTCCTCTACCAAAATATGGATCATCATCAAAATCCAAAGCTCATATAGTGCCAAGAAAAAGGAAATCAAAATCTCAATCACAGACGGCTTCACCTTTTGGGACTTATTAACTTAGGTGATTTTTAAATGCAAACGTTGTATTATGTGTATTTTATGTGTGAATGAATACATTTTTAGTTAGACATGCATTAGTAACTTGAGTTTCAACATTGCTATGATCTGTTCAGTTGTTATCACTTATCAGATTGTTGTCTTTTATCTTTTTCAATTGTATTTTATGTAGTCAAATATGCAACGTGAAAATCAAATTCGCAACGCAAAAATCGCAATGCGAATTTGACTTTCGCGTTGCGAAAGTGTACCTTCAACAGGTCTTTTTACCTTCAACATAATGCAGATTGAAAATTAAACAACAAATCAATTAAACATTGTTGTAGGTACATTATTTGGAAAATAATGTTACGGACTTCGTTAGAAATAACTCTTTTTCATCGGATTAATTTCATTGTGGGTACATTATTTGAACATTGTTATATATAAATTTGTTGTGTATGTATGTTTTGGTTTGATTATATTGTATGTATATTTTCATTCAGATGGGATGGGATGGGATGTGCATAACAAAACAATATATCTCTTCTAAGTGAGTACTTTATTCCCACCATGTGACAAGAGTGACAACCCCATCAACTCACAACTCAACTTTGAACTCAATCAATATTGTCTTTTAGCTTGATGGTTCATAAAGCATGTTACTTGAACAGTATGAATCAATTATGCAATTTTCATGTTCAATTTAACACTGCATTTCAAATTCATTTCATATGTAATTGGAGTTTGAATTTAAATTTCAATTTGAGTTTGAATTTCAATATAAATTTCGGATCCACTATAAATATTAGCCTGAGCCTTTGTTCTATCCAAAAAACAACTTACTCAATGGAATAACTTAGCCAATATGCATGTTATCATTGATTATTCTTAATTTCCATTGTTTTTTTTTCAACTTTAAACGCGAGGGAAATCCCGACCATCGTAATTTTTGGTTAACAAGCAGGAAGATTGGATATCCGAAGAATGTCTTTCGGATACTATCCATTTCAGTAAGCTCACTGAGATAGGTTAACCCTAAACTGAAACTATCTTAGCTAAACATACTTGATGTAGAAGCAGCTATAGATTTAAAATCTCAATGGTGATGCATTTGGTTCTCAAACAGTTAAAGCGTCAGAAACGTTTCATACGTATGATCTAGGTGGTATACGGGAAATGCAACAAATGGCAACTAAAAATCCCGATAATTGAGGGCTACAACTTGTAATAATAACAAAAATAATTAAAGGGTACACGTGTATAAACTATCGATACTTTGCTAAATTAACAATGTAAACGGTAAAATTCTATCGGTGCAATGGTAATAGGCGTACATGACAAGCGTCTCAACTTGTCATTTACGACTATTTTCATTATACCGGAGAACTTTTATCCGTTTACATTGTTAATTGTACCGGTACTTATGCTTTACGTGTGTATTTTCCATTACTTTAACATTATTATTAAAAGATCTAGCATTTAATTCTCGAGAATTTTTTGATGCATTTTGTTGCATTACTCGTGTACCACCCAAATCATAAGTTCGAAATGCTTCCGATGCTTTAAATGTTTGAGAACCAAATGGATCCCCTTCGAGATTTTAAATATGCAGCTGCTTCTACATCAGTTATGTTTCTCTCAGACTGTTTCGGTTAACGGTTATCCTATCTTCATGAGCTGGATGAAATGGATAATATTCGGAAGACATTTTTTTTACATAATTTTATTTCTATATAATTTTTCAAAGATTTCTCTCCCAAATTATCAACTATCAACTTAATAAAGGTATGTTCTTCTCTAAGTTAGTGATGATATATAGTTTATATCTCGTTTGTTTAGTAAATTAATTTACAATTTGTAGAATGAAATCATCTAATGTTGATCATGTTTGGATAGATTTGTGTTTTGGAGGGTCATGGGAGAATGTTTATATGGTGCCAATCAAAAGAAATCAAAATCGCAATCAAAATCAAAATCTCAATCACAACCGGCTTCACCTTTTGGGACTTATTAACTTAGGTATTTTTAAATGCAAACGTTGTATTATGTGTGAATGCATACATTTCAGTTAGACATTCATTAGTAACTTGAGTTTGAACATTGATATGATCTATTCAGTTGTTACCACTTATCAGATTTTTTGTTGTGATTGTTGCGAAAGTCAAATTCGCATTGCGATTGTTGCGAAAGTCAAATTCGAAACGCAAAATCGCAATGCGAATTTGACTTTCGCGTTGCGAAAGTGTACCTTCAAGAGGTCTTTTTTGCCTTCAACATAATCAAGATTGAAATTTAAAACAACAAATCAAATTTTACAAATCAATTAAACAAACAAAAAATAAGAATTATTTACACATCAATTAAACAAATCAACTTTTACAAATCAGTTAAACATGCAAAAAATAATTCTTATTTCCTCATCAATTAAACAAATCAACTTTTACAAATACATCAATTTCACGCAGACAGTTGTTTATGCACAAATACATCAATTTCACGCAGCTCACTTCAGGATTAACCTGCAGAAACCAAACATTTGCTCAAACAACACTTTCTACACATCTAAAACCAACAAACAACAAATTATTGAATTCTAGGTACTTAACCAAACATTTTCAAACCAACAAAGAGTATATATTTTAACAACACTTGCTCAAACTTACCAACTGTTTATGCACACTTTTAGCACGCGGATGCATGTAGACAACGTCTCGCATATATCGCTCTAGCCATAAAATGCCAAAACCACAAGTCTACTACACCTCTATCTCTATCTGTGGGAGGTAGAAACTGTTTACTTCTTGTTGTAAAACGTTCCAAGCACATGCATACGAGATGACCACAATCCCCTCTGGCTCCCTGCGTTTGTTGTGGCGCGGTCTCGTCTCTAATCATTGTAACTTTGAACTTCTTTGGCTTCTTGTTTCCAGAATTAGTCCAATAATCAATCGCATCCAAGTATTTAGCCAAATGAGCGCTCTATCCCTTACAAATAATATCTCTCAAATCAGACAATGGTATGTAATTCAACATGCTGTCATATACCCTCGGTGGTTGATTTTCTATTTCTGACCGTGAATGGTTGTAAGGGTGGCTCTGAGAGATGGAGATAGACGGATTTCGTCGGAGATTGAGACGGTTTTCACCGGATATGGGGACGGATTTCGTTAGAGATGGGGACGGATGTCGCCGTAGAGAGTGAGAGATGGAGATGAGACTGAGTTGTGATTTAGGGTTTTAGGTTATGATTTGCGATTATACTGTTTACATTTGTTTTGCGAAATTACTATTGTGTTTCGAATTCGAAAATAAAATTCGAGTTGCGAAAATAAACGCGCTTTGCGAATTTGACTTCTGTGTTACGAATTTGACTTATGTGTTGCGAATTACAGATTCACATTGCGATTTACATATTCGCGTTGCGAATTTAGAAACTGAGTTGCGAAATTGGAGTTCGTATTGCGAATTTGTTGGTCATTTTCGCAAATCCAAAAAAAGTTGGTTAAAATCGTATAATATAAGGCATTTTCGATCACTGAAATTATTTTATCTTTGTAATTTTTTCTCAAAATTATAATTTTAAAAAATATCTTATAATTTTAAGATAACTTATATTTTTTTTTTATATTTTTTAATTTTTTCTTTAAATTTTTAGCATTATTGATTAAAAATATTAAAATAACGTTTTAGTTATTGTTAAAGAGACAAATATAAAAAGAGCAACTACGAATGGTTCACCGAAGAATTAACACGTGTAAGACATTAACTGCTCATGGGAAACTTTGCGTGAAGAAGAAGTACTGAAATACCCCCAGAAGAAATTTCCAGAATCCCACCCATATTACTATATAAAGCAGAAAAGGCCGCGTCGACGTGAAAAAACAACAACGGTATTTGGGTTGGGTTCGCAGGAAAGAAGATGATAGAAGTGGTGTTGAACGACAGGCTAGGGAAGAAGGTGCGTGTGAAGTGCAACGAGGACGACACCATTGGCGATCTCAAGAAGCTCGTTGCCTCTCAGACCGGAACCCGACCCGACAAGATCCGAATCCAAAAGTGGTACATCATCAACAAGGATCACATCACCCTCAAAGACTACGAGATTCATGATGGGATGGGCCTCGAGCTCTACTACAACTAATCCCTCATTTTGTTTCTGGTAATTTTTGTTCTATTCGCTTATTTCAATGTTTGATTATATAACATTCACTTCAATTATTAAGTATTCGTCTGTAAAACTAGCACGAGAGATCCACGGTTTTAATTTGCTTTCTCTCTGTGTTAAATTAACTTTGAGCCTATGGAATCAAACGTCTAGAATTACATTCAAATAGTGCATTCAGTGTAAGCGCACTAAACTAATGCCAACATACTTATTTTAATGAACAAATGACGCTTTAATTTCTGATTTTCGAGCTTCTTATTTCTTGACATTTTTATTATTAGCTGCATCGACGATTTTGCCTGTGTTATAGTTCATTCTTATGTAATTCTATTTGGCCAAACTAGGATAAGTTTAAGGTGGGTTCAGTAGTAGGATAAATTGCAACTTATTTGGTGCGTGTTTGTGTATATATATTATATTACTCATAATAATCCCATGTTGTAGATAGAGACAGATGCATGATTTTATGCTAGAAGGGAGAACTTTTGAAGTTTTAGGAAGAGATGAACTTATAAAATTTTAAAAATAACAACAAATTATTAATAGAAAATACACATAAAAATATAAAATATATGATAATATGAAATTTTAAGGGGTTACTAACTTTTGTCATTCCCTTAGTTCATCCCTGGTTGCAGATTTTAGAGGAAGATGCGTCAAACAGGATAATTGACTTGCATTTTTCAACTAAGTGTGCTTGTAGGTGTAAGTCATTAAGCCATTGTTTCCATGGGCTAAAAAATTGGCCATATAGATGTTTCACAAACCTATTATCTTTGCCTTCCTCTGTTTTTTTTTGTTTGTTTGTGAATGTGTGTGTGTGTGAGTCTTTGGGGGGAGGGGGAGGAATGGGAAAGTGTAATGGCTAAGATCCCTTCTAAACAAGGGATAAGAAAAGTTCTCCAGTCTCTTGGATCTTGTCTTTCTTTGTGTTGAAACATTTTGTTTGTTGATTGACCCAAGACTATATTCACTGAACTTATAAAGCAGTCTTTGCAATGTTACTTCAGAACTGAAAATCCCACTCTGGTGTTCAGGGATCGTATGTTATTTCTATTGTTTTTACTTTTACAGGTATGATGTTCATATAAGCCGAAGAAGATGCAGTAGAGATTAAAGATATCTTTCAACTATAAGGTGATGATTGGCATGCCCTTCAGGAAAGTGTTGATAATTTGTTCATTAACTTGATTTACCTATCAAGATTCTTGTTAATTTGGTTAATACCAAAAAAATTGTGTTGAAGTTTGTGGAAGTGTGCAATTCTAATCTAGCACTTTTTTGTCATGGTTATTTGTTGTGCGTCCCTGTCTGAACTCATCTTATCTTGAGTGATGAATCACTAAGACTGTGTTTGATTTCACTGTTCTATCTCTTTAAACCTCTTATATCTGCGTCGCGCAGACATTAGGTTTCGTAGACCGTTTGTTTTTTAGAAGCTCTTCTAACGTCTGTGCGAGCTCTTCTTGGTGCAGACATGGTTTTATATCTTCAAAGGTCTTCAAACCAGGAATTTAAATAGCGTTCGTTGCCGCGTTTTCGGTCGCGTCGCGTTTATCGCGGTTGCGGACATAACAGATGTCATTGCGATAACTGTAGGTGTCACGGTCGTGAATTATTTTAAATTTCGCACAACTTATCATAAAACATAATAATTATAATTATAATTATAAGTATAAGGAGTCATTTTTAATATTTTTAGTATGTTTTCTAAACTAAAATGACATATATAATATAGTTTAATCATATAAAAAACTTTAAAATTCTGATAATAGGATAAGATAATTAATTCATAATAACATTGTGAAAACATTATTATTTAAATTATTGAAATTATGATTAAATTAAACAAAAATTAAAGTTTACATTCTAAACTATATATTAAATTATAAATTTTAAAAATTAAAAGGATGAAAAATTAATATATTCTTTAGAGATATATTTTATAACTTATTTTAAAAAAATGGGCCTAAAATATTTTGTTTTAGACCTAATAACTCTAATCCTAAACTATATCCCTCCTCCCCATCACCACCCGCACGTTTCGAGTCTCTCCTTTCTTCCTTATTTCTTCCTGATGTCTTCTTGTTCTCTTCTCTCAACACTCAATATAAAAAACAAGCAAAAACACTCCAAAATCATAACATGTTTTAGCCTAAATCCAGAGCGTGAATGATTTTCTTTTTTTCTTCAATAATCTTAAGCTCCAACGAAGATTCTTTTTTTCGATTATAGTGAACTCCACTCCGGCGAGACCCACAAAACAGGTTCGTTCTTCCTTTTTATTTTTCCAATTTTTTTACTTTTGAATCTCAATATGTATGTATAAAAAACGTGAATTTGAAAAGAAAGAAAGAAAAAAATACAGCTTTGGTGACGTTGAACACAAAAAATATCTTTCCTTAAGTTTTTTTTTCAGTAACGGTTTGAATAACGATGATTGAATCCCGTTATCGGCGCAATCGACCGCAATCGGTGTGAATCCATGACCCACTACAAAAACCATAAATAGCGGTTTCGGACGGTGACACAACCGCAATATCACGGCCACTATAGTATTTTCGGAACGCTATTTGATACTCTGCTTCAAACCTCTTCAAGAATAATTATAAAATATGTTTATTTATTAAAATAATTTTAAATAATTTAATAAGGTTATTTATTTTAAAATAATTTATTTTAAAATAATTTATTATAAAATAATTTATTTTAAAATAATTTATTTTAAAATAATTTATTATAAAATAATTTATTTTAAAATAATTTATTATAAAATATAGATTGATTTATTTTAAAATAATTTATTAGTATAGATTGATTTATTTTAAAATATGAATTGATTTATTTTAAATAATTTATTAGTATGATTTGATTTATTTTAAAATATGGATCGATTTATTTTAAAATATGGATTGATTTATTTTAAAATATGAATTGATTTATTATTGTAGTTGTATAGATTGATTTATTTTAAATAATTTATTAGTATAGATTGATTTTATGGATTGATTTATTTTAAAATATGGATTGATTTATTATTGTAGTTGTATAGATTGATTTATTTTAAATAATTTATTAGTATTGATTGATTTATTTAAAATATGAATTGATTTATTTTAAATAATTTATTAGTATATATTGATTTATTTTAAAATATGGATTGATTTATTATTGTAGTTGTATGGATTTTATTTTAAATAATTTATTAGTATGGATTGATTTGTTTTAAAATATGGATTGATTTATTTTAAATAATTTATTAGTATAGATTGATTTATTTTAAAATATAGATTAATTTATTATTGTAGTTGTATGAATTTATTTATTTTAAATAATTTATTAGTATAGATTGATTTGTTTTAAAATATGGATTGATTTATTTTAAATAATTTATTAGTATAGATTGATTTCTTTTAAAATATAGATTAATTTATTATTGTAGTTGTATGGATTTATTTATTTTAAATAATTTATTATTATAGATTGATTTATTTTAAATAATTTATTATTGTAGTTGTATGGATTATTTAAATTTCAGTATTGTAAAACTAAAATTATTTAAATCTCAGTATTGCAAAACTCTTTTAAGTTTAAAAAATCAGTTTATTTATATTTCAGTTCATTTTAGCAGTCCGCAGACGATAAAAAACAAACAGTCTTCTTCTTACAGACTGCAGACTTTTGGTTCACCTCTTCTGCTGCAGATATGGTCTGCAGACTGCAGATTTTTTACCTCTGTAAAAACAAACACCACCTAAATAATCTTTGGTTACCCATTTTGTTGTCATAATAAACTGGTTCCATGAAAATGTAGTAACATGAGCTGTGAATAACATCCTCTCTCTTGAACTTATCAAAACCCATTAAGTGATTTTAATGATAAATGATAAAAGTGAATGTTATTTTTCTTAAAAATTCTAGATTCGAGTTATTATATATGTAGGGTATGTATACATTATCAATAAATTAAAAAAAATAAACAGGTATTACTTTTTAATTACTTGATACTATTAAAAAAAACTTCTCTGGTCCACCTAAGTGGAGTCTTTCTATTACTATGGCACATTTTGGTGAGATCATATGGCAATTACATAGTGGTTCTGGTTCTGATTGTTAATGTCACAGAAATTGGTCATGAATACTAGCATCGGAAGTTAGGTTCGTCCCAAAATATATTTAAATTTTATGTTATTTTTTAAAATGAGATTTAAAAAAAATATATAATAATAATTAATTTGTTAAATTTGAAATTATAAGGGATTTATGAGATATTTTTTTATCAAAATTTATTATGAAAAATGATCAAAGATATTGTCAAGATCTTTGTTAGTAATTTTTTTGTCATTTTTCAGATAATTAAACGAAAAGTTTGTTTTCTCCGTCGAATGAAAATGTCGTTAGGGTATAAAAGTTATATCTAAATGTCATTCACATATGGGATTTTAAAATTGTGATATATTACAAATCACACTTGTACATAGATAGACATGTCACAAGCAAGTATGATAAATGCCAACGAGACCACAATCACAACCACAATTTGCCTTGTGGATAAAAATCCACGATTGACTGTCAAGATATAGGTTCTGGTACCCAAATGACTGACCTAAACTGCTCTAATTTTTCATTTGTATATGTTGAGGTTGCAGGATGACTGCAAACCCAACGACGTTGTTGGTAGTTTCGGACAGCTCTGGATTTAGTGCTAACAATGCTTTCTATAGACATGCAATTCAAAGAGTCTGTTCATAATAATTTTCATGTCATCCTTTTTCCTCCTTGGGTCGGTGTTTTCTCAGCTCTCCCTGCCTTTTCGCTTCTTTTTAGTTTTATTGTCAGGGCAAGTTAAATACCTATACACATCACTCAATTAAAATATTTTTATAAATATATTATTATTTTTAAAATTTAAACAACATATAATGTAATTATAATTTCAATTCTAAAAGTTATTTGTCTATCCATTATATCTTAATTTAAAATAATTCAATAAATTTAATATTTTGATTTAAAATTTTATAAATTTAATTTTTATGATATTATCAACTCAAATGAATTTATTAAATCAATACAATAATTGAATACTTGTATTTTTATCATATTGAATTCATGATAAATTATTATTATATAAAAAAGTAATATAATGGTTGATTGGTGTCAGAATACTAAGTTGAAGGATAAAATATATATGTTTAAAAATTGAGGGTAATATATAATTATCTTATAGAATTTTTAGCTTCATCTGTGTAGATTATATTGATGAATAAATGAATTTGGTAAGGATTATGGAAGCCTTAAGACAACAAAATCCAATTTAAATATACAAAGCTTTGTTTCCAGGTAACTCTAATCATGTAATTAATTTGCATTCCCTACTTTCTAAATCCGACGCGATCATCAAGCCCGTTTCATAAAATCTGATGATCTATGCCAACTTAAGAATTACGTATATATAATAAGTATCGAAAAAATTGAATTTTAAGAATATGTAGAGATAAATTATTTTATTTATAAATTATAATTTTTTATTTTACTTGTAAGCTATCTAAAAATATATCAAATTTTAAATTAAAAACATTGAATTATTTTTAGAGAAAATCGCCTCAGTGACCAAAAATACCTTATAATATACGATTTTAACCAACTTTTTTTGGATTTGCCAAAATGACCAACAAAATCGCAACGCGAAATAAAAATCGCAACGCGATCCCCAGAATCGCAAATCAGTTTCCAAAATCGCAACGCGATTCTTGAAAATCGCAATGCGATAGTACAAATTCGCATTGCGATTTTCCAAAATCGCAACGCGAACACATAAATCGCAACGCGTATCCGTAAATCGCAACGTGTATCCGTAAATCGCAACGCGTATGGGTAAATCGCAATGCGTATCTGTATATCGCAACGCGTATCCGTAAATCGCAACGATAATACATAAAATCGCAACGCGTATCCGTAAATCGCAACGCGATATTTAAAGCGTCATTATAATTGCTACGCGTATTTTATTTTCAAATTACAAAAACGAATATTAAGACAAAATCCCGTAATCGCAACTCATAACCTAAAACCTAAAATCACAACTCAGTCCCATCTCCATCTCTCACTCTCTACGGCGAAGAAATCCGTCCCCATCTCCGAAGATTTCCGTCCCCATCTCCGGCGAAATCCCTCACAACCATTCACGGTCAGAAATCCCTCACAATATTCAGAAATGGAAAATCAACCTCCGAGGGTTAGTTTTT